GTGCTGGTGGAAGAGAAGAACACCCTGACCCTGGAGAACAAGACCTTGAAGGAGCAGAAGAACCGGCTGGAGTCGGATACCGGCAGCAAGAAGCTGCTGCTGCTGCAGGCTCAGATCACGCAGCTGCAGGAGGAGACCTTCAGGTGGGGGTGGAGGGGAGTGGGGCCTAGGGGTTAGAGCTGGGGAGCCAGGACTCCTGGGTTCGGTTCCTGGCTCTGGGAGGGGAGTGGGGCCTAGGGGTTAGAGCTGGGGAGCCAGGACTCCTGGGTTCGATTCCCGGCTCTGGGGGGGGAGGGGGGTCTAGTGGTTAGAGCAGGGGGGCTAGGTTTGGCGTCTCAGCTGGGGCTGCCCACCCCGTGCAGGCTGGAGAGCGGGAAGGAGGACTTCCGCACACGCTGCGAGGAGCTGGAGAGGGAGGTGCAGGAGCTGCAGCATCGGAACGAGGAGCTGAGCAGCCTGGCCGAGGAGGCCCAGGCCCTGAAGGACGAGATGGACGTGCTGAGGTGAGAGCCCTGGTCTGATGGGATTCCCACACCTGCCCAGCAGATGGGTAACCAGAGCACCCTAAGACGGGGTGGGGGTAACCCTCATGCCCCAGGGCAAGGGTCAGGCAGGAAGTCTCCCCTGGTGGGATTCTGACGCAATCGCACTGGTTAAGGGCATGTTGTTCTCTCCTCTTCTCCTACTCCCTGTGTGTGCACAGAGCACTCCACGTTGAGGATAAGAGCCTACTACTGCTAGCTACCGGAGGAACTCCTCTAACTCCGGTGGGAGCAGCTGGGTTTCTGGTGCCAGGGAGTCTTGGTTGGATTCCCCGCTCACCAGATGGGGATAGAGGCACGGCTGGCCCACTGAGCAAGGCAGGACTCTGTGCCCTCGGGTTGGATTTGCTGGCCTTGGGCCCAGCAGCTGTTCAAACCACCCACGCTCTGGGTGTCCCTAAATCTCTGGGACAGGGGACGGAGCACCTGAGAATTGCTCTGCTCCCTTCGTTCCCTCTAAAGCGTCTGGCGCCGGCCGTTGTCGGGAGACAGGCTACCGGGCTAGATGGGCCGTTGGTCTGACCCAGTGTGGCCCTTCTCCCTGGAGTGGAGAGCGTGTCGGGGTCCTTCCAGGACTCCTGGCTCTGGGGGAGGGGGGCTGGGGTCCAGTGGGGGGCTGAGCTGGGAGCCAGGGCTCAGCGGATTCTTCCCCTGGCCCACTCCCAATAACCCGGTGATCTGCGGCAGCCACAGAGGGGCTAGAACTTGCATGTACGCTGCGTGCCGGGCCCCCGGCTGACGGCCGAGCTCCTCCCGCCCCTGGCAGGCACTCCTCGGACAAGGTGGGCAAGCTGGAGGCCGCGGTGGACGCCTACAAGAAGAAGCTGGAGGACCTGGGCGACCTGCGGCGGCAGGTGCGGCTGCTGGAGGAGCGGAACACGGTCTACATGCAGCGCACCTGCGAGCTGGAGGAGGAGCTGCGCAAAGCCAACGCCGTCCGCTCCCAGCTGGAGACCCACAAGAGACAGGTGGGCGGCGCAGCTGGGGCCCCCTGGGCTGAGTGGGGGGCCTGGCGTCTCCAGCAGAGGTTCTCCCCTTCCCCACTTCTCTGCGGGGTGCGAGGGGGGCTTCCCTCATCTGCTGGCGTCCCATCCGGGGGGCGCCTTGGTCTGCGCCCAGGAGCAGCGGCCGCACCGAACCCCGTCCCTGTCGCCCCACAGGTGCGCGAGCTGCACGGCAAACACTCGGAGGAGGCCTTGAAGGCCGAGAAGTGGCAGTTTGAGTTCAGGAACCTCAAGGAGAAGTTCGAGGCGCTGGTGAAGGAGAAGGAGGTGAGGCGGGATCTAGTGGCTAAAGGGGGAGAGCGGGGGCGGGGGGCTGGGAATTGGAATTCCCGGGTATCCCCAGCTCCGGGAGGGGAGTGGCACATAGCGGTTAGAGCTGACCGCCCGGGCAGGGCGAGTCCCAGGTTTGGGAGCGAGGCGATCCTGCTCTCCGCCTGGGTGAAGGGTTCTGCTGACCCCCAGCTGCTCCCCCCCCCGCAGCGCCTGATTGAGGAGCGGCACTCCCTCCGCGAGGCCAACGAGGAGCTGAGATGCGCCCAAGTGCAGCAGACGTGCCTGAGCCAAGCAGGTGGGTGCAGCCATGTTGGAATAGGAACCATCTGGGGCTGTGGGGGGGACTTGGGGGCGGGAGTAGCAGCTGCATCTGCTGCTGCAATTGCCCCTTTCCTGGCTGGCCTGAAGCAGGGAGAGGACAGACTTCAGCGCTGAAACGTAACGACGGTTAGCGCCAACACCTTAACGAGATGTCGGTTCGCGCCTCTCAGAGCTGGTTCAGGCTCTCTGCAGACTCAGGCAGCCATCCCTGCACTGAGGCGTCTTCAGGCTTCCCTTGAAGCCATAAGTGCTGGGAAGTCGCCTCTGTTTGGGGGGGGGGGGGACACTCAGACTTTTGGGGATCTGACTCATGCCAACCAGGGTCTGACTTTTACGAGGTGCTGAGCGCCCACAACCGCGTGATGCTTAAAAAGCTGTAAAACCTCTTGCTCTAACTGCAACTCAAACCGAACCCGCTGTCCCAGGGACTCGCTGTAATTCAGAGCCCTTACAAACAGGCCCAGAGCTGGAGACGCAGCTACCAGCACCGGGCTGGTCTAGCCTCAGGCAATTAGCTGAGATCAGGAATAAAGCCAAGGACAGTCAAGGCCTTGATTAGAAGCTGCGTTTCCACGTGACTCAGCTCCACACCCTAGGCCAGGAATCTGCACCTCCAACAAGCCAAGGTTTCGTGGTTGGTTTTGTTTTTTCTTCCTCCTTGACTCCAAGCTGCATTGTCAGCCACAATCTCACAGCAACTTATCAGCTGATGGAAGGCGGGCGGTAACCAGCAGGGCACATCCACCTCCATTCGCCTTAGCATGGCCTGTTCCCGCTGGGAACGTTCCAACTGCCGGTTTGTCGGCTGGGTGTGAGGGCCTGGAGAATGGAATTCGATCCGGCTCCTTGTTGGAAGTGTCTGTTGTGGGGCTGGTCACAATTTTTTGGTCACTTTTTTTTATTTTTATTTTTTTGTGGAGAAGGGGAGTTTGGGTGGACATGCACCTGCTTTCCGTGGGGAAAATTGTGTTTTTCAGCCAAAAGAGGCGGATTGGCTGTGCTGCCGCCATGGTGCCTTGTGGGAGTTGAAGTTTGGTTTCCTCAGGTCCTCATATCCTCTATGGGCCGAGCTCCTTGGTGGCACTACATTTCCCATGATGCACCCACCTGCCCTCTCCGTGAGGCAAGATCAAGGTGCATCATGGGAGAGTGGGCCAGCTGTGGAACCTGGCCCAGAGAGAAGAATGAGGACCTGTAGGTATAGTTCTGTTTCCTTATTTTCCTCCATGGGCTGGGCTCCCCAGGCAGCCTACTTCTCCCATGATGCATCACGGCCTCACCTCATGGGGGCAGGTGCGGGACATGCAGTCCCATCAGGGAGCCTGGCCCGAATGGTAGAACAAGACACCTGAACTACAACTCCCATGAGGCATTGCAGTGGCACTTCTCAATCTGAAATATTTTGGCCAAAACCCCTGAAATCTTTAATCTATTTTAGTTAAAACTCTCCCCCCGCCCCTCCCCCCCCATTTTCTGACCAACTCTAATTCATTGGTTATTTTTTAACTGATGCAGAATCTGTGGAATTCAATATCTTGTGGCAATGAGTCCAAGAACTTGGGTAGTGTGGGGAAGAGAGCATGCACCCTTATAGGCTATTACACAAACTGTATTCCGTTCCTAAGTGAGCCCCCCCCCCCCCATGCTACTGCACATAAACTAACTTGGGGGAGGGGGGACACTAGGAAAGAGATCCCGCCCCACATAAGCAAGATATTCATAGCTCTCCGCTGGGGGAGTTCCTTTCCTCTCTCTTTCCTCCCTGGCCGCTGTTGCAGATAATGGTCGGCCATGACCTGGGCTCAACTTTCTCCCACTGAACGGGGGGAGTTGTTCCAGCTCCGTCAATGGCGTGAACGCCGTCAGAAATCTCTGCCTACGCCACGAGCCCAGAGCAGGAGGCTGCTGGTTGTGACCCTAGCCTGGGATCTCCGCGTTCCTAGTCCTGGCCGGGGGCGGAGGAGAATTTCCCCCCACCCCCGTGCTTGGGGCTACTAGAGATCTGCCAAGTCAGGGCTGGTCCCTGCTCCTCCATATAACCCCCACACACACATACACCCTTCCTCTTGCAGATGCCTTGCTGGACGGAGCCTCTTCTCCCATGGACAACCTGGCCGCTGAGATCTTGCCGACTGAACTCAAGTAGGCTCCCGCCCTGCAACTGTCGGGCTAGAGGGGTGTGATTGTGTTGGCACTTCTAGGCCACCGTACCCGGGGGAGGATGGGGGGTTCCTGTCAAGCCCTTGGTGTGTTGTTTGCAGAATCTCGCTAGTCCCCTTTGGGGGGAGGGTCTCTGCTGCTGACCTTCAGACGCATGAGCTGTTCCCAGCTGTCTGCGCAGTCAGGAGCGAAGGGGTTAAATTCCTCGGGGCGGTGACTTTTTGGGCTGGAGGGGGGCACGATCCCGGGCACATAGCTGCACAGCCGGGCTGCCTGGTGCCCCGCAGCAGGGAGGGTAACTCCTAGCGCCCCGGCAGGGGGGCAAGCGTTGGCTCTTAGCACGGCTGCACCTCCCACCTTAGCGAGGGGTCTCCCAGCCTGCCCCAGGGCCGGCTGTGAAGAGCCACGTGCATCCCCCACCCGGGCCATCTGCTGCCCCCCCTGGTTGCTGGGGCGTCCCCAAGCCTCTGCCCGGGCTGGCTGAATTAGCTGCTGCAGAGGCCTGTGAGTAGCCAAAGGGTGGCTTGTAGATGCCCCAATGACAAGCCGCAGCCCCTGGGGGACTACAGGTTCCAGCATGCAATGCTGCAGCTCAAGCCAAGCCGGTGATTGGTTCTTGGGTTGAGACCCAGTGTTGCATGCTGGGACTTGTGGTCCCCCAGGAATGGCACCTGCACCCCAGGCTGCGGCAAGGGCATTGGCTGGAAGGCTGGCTGGGGGGCCCCTAGGCCGTCTGACCTCCCCCCTCTCCCCAACCCCAGGGAGACCATCGTGCGCCTGCAGCACGAGAACAAGATGCTGTGTGTGCAGGAGTCGACGTACCGGGAGCAGCTGGCCGAGCTGCAGGGGCAGCTGGAGGAATCCAAGCGCACCAAGAACCGGCTGGAGACCCAGCAGAGGTAACGGGCAGGAGGGCAAGGGGGAGCTGCTGATCTAGGGAGGCTGAGACCTCCCCTAAACTTCTCACCTGAGAGGCCCCGGCTGCCCCCAGCCAGCTAACGGAGTGGGAACCTCAGCCCATGGAGGGTCCCGGTCATGCCATCCACTGCCCCTGCTCCGCTAGCCTCCCCTCCCTTCTTCCTCCCTTTCCAGGTTGCACCAGCAGCAGATCTCGGAGCTGAAGGCCCAGGTGGAGGAGCTCCAGAAGGCCCTGCAGGAGCAGGGCACCAAGGCGGAGGATGTGAGTCTGGCCGAGGACGGGCTGTACATGGTTTTTCCCGACCTCTGCCCCGTCGCCCTGCAGCCCTGAGCCGCCTCCTGGGAGCAGATTCTGGACTGGCAGTGGCAGGCCATGCACCCTGCCGCAGAGCGGAAAGATTCCCTCTCCCGTGACTGATCGGTTTTTGTCCCCCTTGATCCATCCCGTTCCCATGCCGAAGCCACAAGAGCAGCTAACGGCTCGTTCTGCTCAGCCTGGGGTATGCGGGCATGGCACGGGCACCGTGGCAGGGCCCCTGGGGCTACACCCCTCCCACGCGGGCGCCCAGCCGAATGTGAGAACTTGGAATAAGGTCTCCTGCGTTTCTTCCACCCTGGCTAGAGGCTGCCGGGTGGCCGAGTGCAGCTGCAGTAGCTTTGCCACCCGATGCATTGGCTTTGGGGGGTGGGGGAAGGGGTGCCCTTGGGTTTGAGCGGCTGGGCGTGGTCTGCCCCACAGCACTGTTTGGGGGGAGGAAGGGGGGGCTGGAGATCTGTGCATGATGGGGGAGGAGGCGGCTGGAATGGGGTCCAGTCTCCCCTGATTTCTCATTCTTGGGAAGGCAACCCCCTGTACTCGGGATCCCCTGTGGGGGGGATGGGAGCCCACTCGCTGCTATCCTCCAGCCGCCTCCTCCCCAGGTGCTGCTGCCTCTGTGTGTGAAATCGTCCAAGTGATCTCGTGTGCCCCCCGCACCCCAACTCTGTGCCGTGATCACGCTAACACCTCTCTCTCTTCCCCCACCCCTCTCTGTCTCACTGGCTGATTGTTCCCCTACCCCTCCAGGCCATTGTAAGTACCGACCGGCCCCTCGTTCAAATCCACCTTGCTTCTCCGTGCTCCTTTCCTATGGCTTGGGTGAGGGGATGACGAGTTTGGGGGCCCAACCCACGACACCTGCTCTCCGGGGTGGATACCCAGCCCTTCCTGAGAGTGGGGGACTGGGCGGTTTAGAAGGGGTCTTGAGTTGGGGGACCCCCCAAAATACTGCTAGTTGCTGTTGGAAATCTTGGCTGTTACTCGTAGCCTGTTACTGCTGCTTAATTCGCTTCCTGGCTTATTAACGTCCCTTGGAAGAGATTCGTGTGTTGCACCGAGCTGTATATTGAAAGAGAAAGTGCAGAATATCGTTTGGCTACCCAGCAGCCTCCGCAGGGAGCCATATTACAAGCCCTGGATTTAGACATAGGCTGGGCAGAACTCTCTCCTCCTTTTTTATTAATTTCAATTTTTTTTTAATCCATTTCGCTTTTCCCAGTTGCGGGAAACGAGGCGAGGGGTCGGACCGATTGCGGACGTTGTGATTCGCAAAGCGAAAGCTCGAGAACACAACTTGTCCACAGATCCCCAGTAAATCTCCTCCAATCCCGGTCTGACAAGCTCTCACGCCACGTTTCTCGTGCTTGGCCTGTCAGTACATTGGGGATGATCTCTGGCGGGATTTCCTCGTTGGGGGCGGGGTGTACGGTGAATTTGACGTTGACCGGCACAAAATCAACTCCTTCCAGGCCTAGCTATAAATGGAGACACTTGTTCTAAACAGCAGCCCAGAAAATGGCAGCTTGTGTCTTGTCTAGACGGCGCTAAGCCCGTGATTTGAACAGCCGGGTCCTAGCTCCGTCACAGCCGCCCCCCTGGTTACGGCTGGCTGCCAGCTGCTGCAAACTGGCTTTAAGATGCTCTTTCGACGGTTGGCATCTAAACCCCTGGTTTTTTGCGCTGGCTCAATCAACGTAAAATCGCTTCTGCTCTGTCAGGCCCGGGGTGGGGACAGCGTCGAGTGACTAGCTAGAGACAGGAGGGCTTGATCCTGGCTTGTGACGGTGGCTATGCGTGGCCCTGGCTTCCCCTGCAGCGTGGAGCGTCAGAGGCTGATCCCTGTCACTCCAGGAGCCCCGCGCGCGTCCGCAGCGCCGGGACGCTGGGGTTCAGAGCAGGAAGGGCCGGATTTTCCCCCCCGGGTGGCGTCGGCTGGCCCACGTCCTCTGGTGCCGATGGAGCCGCCCCTGCCTCTGGTCTGGGAGAGCTGAGCAGGGGTGGGGGAGGGCCCAGCTGGTGACCCCGAGACGCTGGAGGCGCCATCTCCGGCTCAGCCCCCCCCGAAGCTCTCCGGAGGAGGGAGGGGCCGTGAACACTGGGGCCCGGCGGCCGTGGCAGCCCCCTCGGAAGTTGTGCGGTCTGGGCTCTCGATCTTCACCCTCCCCTCCTCTTCCTCCCTAGTCTTGCCTGTTGAAGAGGAAGCTGGAAGAGCACCTGTAAGTTGTGTTGTTCTGTGAGTACCTGGGGGGCGGGGCCTTCAGGGTGTCGGGATGGTGAGCTGCCCACAGGGGGGCGCTGGGGTGGGTGTCCGGGGGGGGGGG